TAACAAAACATTGACCAAGAAATGCCATATAACATAAGAATAAAATAAAGAATATGTTTTCTTAAAATTTCCTTTACATGTCCTATTTCTAAATTGCCTAAAGTGTTCATGTTTCTGCTTTTTTTCCCCTATTGATGATGACTGGAAAGTAATTTGACCAATAGCGAGCAGGCATTGTACATAATCGACCAATTCAATTATGGCATGCAAGAAGGTGGGATCTACAGAGAACGGTCAAAGCAATGCAAATATGGGTATAATGTTTGAGGACTTTAAAGAACGGTGACAGGAAAACAAAGCCAAAACCCAGACATTCTATGGTTTGTTACCGTAGCACTCGCACACTTGCAATGCATTGGCCACGCATTTGCATCTGGGTTTGTACATTTGCATGAAGTATGTTTCTAACTCTCACACACACACATTTTAACAATTTATTTAAATCTTCTTAAACTGATGCAGTTAAATAATGTACACAATCATGAACCAGTGGCATACAGCAGATCTTCACAATATTAAGCATATCAATCAGTTGTTAAGGGTATAAATAACAACGTCTCCACCATATATGACGGCTGCCTGTAGATTAAAAATATGAATCACCAAAATGACACTGTCTGCCTGAATTCTATGGTTTGTTACCGTAGCACTCGCACACTTGCAATGCATTGGCCACGCATTTGCATCTGGGTTTGTACATTTGCATGAAGTATGTTTCTAACTCTCACACACACACAAATGACGTTTGTAGCCAGAGAGAAATGACTCATATTGAGACCTCAACCAAGCCTTGAATATACATCGCAGTAGAGACCACTTTTTCAGGGGCTTTGGATCCAGAATGATTTTTCCCATTAATTTTCTAAATCGGTGAAGAATTCTAAAACGTAAAATATGGTATAGTATACTTATAGGGATAGTTTACCCAAAAGTGACAATTCTGTCATCATTTATTCACCCTCAAGTTGTTCCAAACATGAGTTTCTTTCATCTGTTCGGCACAAAAGATGATATTCTGAAGGATGTTGATAACTAAACAGTTAACGATAGCCATTAACAAAATAAAAAAATAAAGTATCATCATAGTGTATATGTAAGGAATAATTGACGGGCCATTGAATTATTAGAAAATAATGCACACCCGAGATGGTGATGTGGCGATGCACAACCGAAGCGGAGTGGCCGTTACACCAGGGGTGTGCATTATTTTCGAATAATTCAGCGGACCAGAGTCAATTATTCCGCTTATACTACGGTTACCACACTGCAATACTTTATGTAGGGGTGCAGTTCATAAAGTATTGCAGAAAGGATACTACATAAAGACATCAGTCAAATGATATATTTCAAGGCATTTGTCCAGTTTTTGTATTTAAAACTCTATTGTGAGTAGGATTAATTTCTTACGCATCGCATCCAATGACTCCGCTGCTAATTCCAAAACGTCATTTTAGACCTAGTATCGGAGGCTTGAGCCGTTAAAAGCAGACTAATGCAGTTAACAACTAAGTTACAGAGAGAGAGAGAGATTTAAGAGTGTGAATTACCTTTCTTGTGTCTGTGCATCTCTCAACAGTGTAAGTATGTGATTTACGTACATAGCTAATAAAACGTCATTTTGTGGCAAAAAGACTATTCTGTCGTTTTTATCCTATTGTTTACTGTATTTATTTGTTTGGTCAGTGTTGTTGTGGGTTTTGGTTATTTAGCTGTTTTAGGCTGTAAGGACCTTTGAAATAACTCAAAGCATTTGGTGAAGTGATATGGACGTGTAATGCGGTCAGAACCTGCCTAGAACTACGTTCGCCGTGCGTTTCCCTGAAAATAATTGCACACCTTTGAACGTTTGTCAGCCAATCAGATTCAAGCATTCAATGGCCCGTAGTATAAATAGTATTATACCATGGTCTGTCTGAATACTCGATTCTGATTGGCCGGCAGGTATGCATTAAAACTGTTTAATGCACAGGTAGTTCCAAGTCAGTTTAATCACTGTTCTATATTAATGCGCTGCTTTAATTGATGCACAAACACACACATCACTCGCAAACAAACACAGAGAGAGAGAGAGGTCGGACATGGCAAATCGCTCTGCGCACACACACAGAAACTTGTTGTCAGTGCTGCCCCGTGGCTTTTATTAATAAAATAGCCTAGATGGATCACTACATTATATTCTTAAGCAACAAGGTGGTAAAATCGTTGTTTTTGAGGTAAACACAGATTCATTGTTTGTAGAGAGAGACGAGCAGACTCGGGTAACTCACATACATAACTGTAGTAATCTCTCTCTTTCTTTCTCTCGGCCGATAATTGATTCAAATAAATGCTGTAATTCATTCAAATAAATGTGATCTTACCGCACTATTTCATCTCTGTGTCTGATTTGGAGCAGACAGAATGCTAGAGCTAACGTGCCGTGACTGACTAAAATTACTGCCATTTTTAACCCTTCCGGTCAAATATTGCGCTACAAACATCATTAACGGATTTAAGTTGTCATTGCTGGCAAATGACCATGGTACTGTATAAGCAGTACAATGCATGGCTAGCTGTGTGTCAGGGTTTTGCCCTGACACTCTGGTTGTCTTGTGTTTTGTTTCCCTGGAGCAGTCAAACTAGTTCCAGACACTCCTAAGTTGACAGACAGCTGCTGCTGCTGCTATCCTTGCTAAAGTTAAGTCTGTTCCAGTTGTATCAGAGTCGACTGAGACCACTATGGCCATCACTGTGTCCGTTAAACCAGCTTCAGACACTCCTGTGCCCTCTGAGATTGCCATCCTTGCTTCAATCAAGTCTGTTCAAATCATTCCTGAGATGACCAGTCCGCTGTGGCTTTCCTTGTATCAGTTAAACCAGTTCCAGTCAACTCTAAGCCGGCCAAGACCACTGCAGTTATTAGAGTCTGTCAAGTTAGTTCAAGACACTCTTGAGTTGATCCAGACCGATGCGGCCATCCAAATTGCAGTCAAGTCATTTCGGGTCCTTCCTGTGTTGACCCAGGCCAATTTAGCCACCTCTGAGTCAATCAAGTCCGCTTCACTTAACGGTGTTGGCTGATCAATATTTTTCATCCCCTCAGATTTGGAGAAGGAGGGGACATGTATCTCAACTTATGGGCCTTCCTTCTGAACACTCAACCCATGGGTCCAAGTGGACCCGTGTTAAGAACGCTCTAGCCCTGTGAGTCCAGAGGTGTCTAGTTCGGTGGCCTTGGTGTCAGAGCCTCAAGTTACAGTTACGAAGTATTCTTTCAAGCCTCCTGGTCTATTTGACTCATTTACAGAAGTTATAAAAGAGACTGTTCCAGCCTTTCATGTCACGCCTTCAGAAGTTGATCCTGCCAGTCAAGCCCATTGAGACTGCTCCTACCTGTCATGTCCACAAGTTGTTCCTGTTAGTCAAGTCAAGCCCTTTGAGATCGTTCCTGTCCGTCGTGTCAAGTCCACAGATGATGTTCCTGTCAGTCGTGTCAAGTCCACAGAAGATGTTCCTGTCAGTCGTGTCAAGTCCATAGAGATGGTTCTTGCCTGTTATGTGAGATCCAAAGAAGTGGTTCCTGCCAGTCAAGTTCATGGAGACTATTCCTGTCTGTCAAGTCATGCCTTCAGAGGTTGTCCCTTCCTATTCTGTCTGGGCCATACAAAGTGTTCCTGCCTGTCCTGTCACGCTTACAGAGGTCGTTGCCGCCAGTTGGGTCATGGCCATAGAGATTGTTCCTGTCTTGTCAAGCCCTCAAATGTTGTTCCTACCTGTCATGTCTAGGCCATACAAAGTGTTCCTGCCTGTCCTGTCACGCCTACAGAGGTCGTTCCTGCCAGTTGGGTCATGGCCATAGACGGTGTTCCTGCCTGTCAAGTTATGGCCATATAAACTGTTCCTGTCTGTCCTGTTATGTCCTCTGAGGTTGTCCTTGCCAGTTGGGTCATGGCCATGGAGATGTGTTCCTGTTTGTCTTGTCAAGCCCACAGATGTTGTTCCTGCTAGTCAAGTTACACTCACTGAGATCATACCAGACCAGCTCTCGGCTGTTTCTGACGAGTCCCTCGGAGGATGTTCCTACTAGTTGTGTTCCACCAGAAGAGGCTGCCTGTTTTGTCAATAAACCCTTGTTACTCACACTGCAATTGGGTCCTACTTCCAGATCCCTGACAGCTGTGCATTAAATGATTTTTACACCCCAATTGTTCACGTCGGTTTGTCATGGCCTCCACCTCCTGCATTAAAATCGTTTAATGCACAGCTAGCCGTGCATTATCCTCACATAAATGTTAGGCCTTATACATTATAAACTTCGGCCAGTACTCATCAGGCGCAGACATCTTTATGCATCAATCGAGGTTTCTTGCAGTAGTCGCGATTTATCGACCTAATCCGACTTCACTATTCAGTTGTTCACCTAGTGCATTCTAGTTTATAATAAAATACCTTTATTTGACCCTCTAACTCTAACACTTTCTATTCTATTTTAATTCTACTTTATATTTATCTTTTTTTATTTTTTATTTATTTTTTATTTTAAAAAAAATCAACAAAAAACAAACACTAGCTTTCTATTTTTTTCTATTCTACCTCCTTGTTTTTCTGTGTGTGTGTGTGTGTGTGTGTATAATCTATGTTAGGCTAACCGAGACTTGTCATTTGCACTTATATATTGTTGCTCTTTTGTTAGTTTTGACTGCTTTTATTGTCCTCATTTGTAAGTCGCTTTGGATAAAAGCGTCTGCTAAATGACTAAATGTAAATGTAAATGTAGTTTTTATTTTCATGTAGGGAAAAATGTCTTCTCCAGTCAGCATTTTATTTAAAATTATTTTTTTTTCATAAAAGAAATATAGTTTAATCGATTAAAAGTGTCAGCAGAAATGACAGTATCTCCAACTCACGGGAAAGTATGAGTATGTTGAAGCGTGCGCTGCTCTCTCGCGCTCCCCGCCCTCAAGTCTCTGCACGCGGCGCTAATTGGCGCTCTCAGCTCGAGGCAGCAGCCACGAGCGCCACAGACGCGGATACCTCAGCCAAATTCACAGAGTTCAGTCACACTCAGAGAACAGATCATTAGTCTTTTTATTTGTTTTCGTTTTATGTGTCTCCCCTCATTAAGTTGAAGAGAGCTTAGTTTGGGAACAGTGGACACGTCTTGAAGACATTTCAAGCATGACTTTGGATAATAACGGAACTTGAAGTCTCAAACTGCGCCTCAGACTCCCAGAAAATAACGACAGACACCAGCTCTCACAGGTACCCGTTTATTATTAACGTTTCAGTATTTTATTGCATTTCATTGGTGGATATTGAGCTGAAAAGTTTACAACTTTATTAAAATGTCCAACTTAAGTAGTTCAAACATATTTTCATGAAGTTTTAAGAGCATCACTGAGGATAAATGACAGTTTGTGTCTTTTAATTTTGACGGACTATAGTCGAAAGCGATAGTCATTCGATATTTATGTTAGGTAATATAAGATTATATTGTTATCACATTCATATTAAAGATACACCAAGCACTCCAGTGGCATGTCTGGTCTGGGTGATACAGTGTAAAATTAATTGCTGCTCTCATGAGGATACATATTTGCAGTGCTGTTGTTTGAGGCTGTTAATCATGCGTGGCTCTCCCATTTTCTCCTCTCCACTCATTTTTAGGTGATAGGAAACATGTTTCATTTCAGAAGATTTAAATCGCAGCTGCGCTTTATTAAACATTGTCTTACTGGCAGTGGCAAGTAAAGCAAATGTTTGACTTTAACAAGTGCATGAAGTTATTGTATAACGGCATCTTTAGAAAAACATCCATTTATCATGGATGCTTGCTATTGTATTTTATTACTTGCATTATATTTTATTTACATGAATGTAATTATTTTATTTACATATTTTAATTAAATTAATTAATTAATTGTAATATATTGCTTAATTTAATAATTAATTATTAAATAAATAAATTATATAGATAACCCCTTTTAATTACATTATTATTTTATTTATTATTAACATATTTATTTTATTTACATATAGGCCTACAATAATAAATAGATTTAAATGAATTAGTTTTCATCATTCATAATTAAAATATGAATAAAATAGCATTATATACAGTTTATATTGCTAGGCCTATGTGTCAGATTAATATTGGTGTATGGTTAAAAATTATACAAATTATTTGAGAAGCAATTTTCTCTCCTGTATCCATTGTAGTTTTATTTAATAGGAAATTGCCTTAGGTTTTATTAGGCGCTGTGAATTGTGATTTGATTTAGCCATTTCTAGTCAGTGGCAGGTGGTATTAGAGGAATGGGACTTGTTAGGGGCGTATGATGTAATTTTAAGTTTCAGAAAAGTGCATACTGCTGCAGGCTCCAGGACAGAGTACTGCTTGACAGTCTATGTGGCGTTACGTCACCAAAGTGTGAATTCGGAGGAGGACCACAAAAGCTTAGGGTGTCATTTGGCACAGTGGGTCATCAGTAAGTTTTGTTTATAAGTTTCTCTAAGTTTTAAGTGCATTCTGTATATCTGCTCATTTGTATCAACTTTCTATCATATCGAAGGCCTCAAAATGTGGATTAAAGCCATTAAACTCCCATTTTGATTTCATGGGCGACTTTAAATTAAGGAAAAGATTAATACGGTTATAAAAGCTGATAAGGTTTATTTTCAAATGGCTGGCCAGATTTGCTGGTGAGGAATGTGTGATGGGAGTAAAAGCGTGTCTGTGGTGTCTGTCAAGGGAATGAAAGATGGGAGATTCTCAGTCTGCCTCTGGTCCTCCTCACACATCCACGCCAACAGCTGAGCTGGGATTGGCATTAACTCTCGACTCTGTGCTTCTTCAGAAGAGTAAGAGGACGAAAGCAAGCCAGAACGTAGTACTTGAGTAGATGAGAGGGGGCTCTTTCTCTTGCCCCGTGTTAACGGGCCGGATAATGCCTCTCTGTGATGCACACAGACTTTATGGAAACTCTCGCTCACACACCCTGCAGTTTTATGGGGTGAGACCAAGAGAAAGTCTCAGTCATAAGCCACAGATGTCGTATACACACTTTACAGACTATATGCATGTGTGTGTTTCTTATTAAGTATTGATTAAAATAAATATTAGCAGTTCATATATCTATATTGAAAAATATATTCAATTTTTTAATGGTAAAACATGAGTGTAGCTGTTTTTATTTAATTTGCATGCATAGGCACACATGCCATAAAGTATAGTTGTATCTATGTTCTCAATATAATGTTTTGCTTTGCTTAATTCAGAAAGCTGGACCTCTGACATATATTTGGAGAGGAAAACATGATACCACAGAGGGTGGGGAGCTGGATTTCCTCTGCTGAAAAAGTAGGGCAGTAAGTGGCAGAGTGATGGATTCTAGTTGCTGTGTGTGTGTGTGTTTGTGTGTGTGTGTGTGTGAGTCCGTGTCTAAGTGTGTTTACTGTACGTCCTTGGAGCATAGTGCCACCTGGGTGTTAAAAGGCTCTAGCACAGAAGTGCGACTGATTTCTTAGACTTATGTCTCTCTCTCGTACATTTTCTCTCTGTCTGACTCGCCTCACTGTCTCTCCTCACTACATCAGCAGTATATGAGCCAGTAAGACAAACCAACCTTGATTCTTTTAAATCCCAGGTTTCTTGACTCATTTAGAAGGCAAAAGACTGTGCCATAGTGCAGGAAAGAAAATAAAAGTTTTTTTTTTCATTTTTATGAAGAAAAAGTGATGCTTGCTGTGCATTGGTGGTTGCCAGGGTGTGGTTTGCCCATGCCTATATTATTTAGGTTTTGTCTGTGTTGCTCTTGAGTGTAAATTTCTTTTTTTATTCATCCACCATATGAAAATCATCTGATTGTTTAGAAAATGAATGGCACACCTCACAATTTGAAGTATCATTTAGTGAGCCACTTCAATAGTGGCCTGTTACAAAGCTAGTTGAAGAAGCTCAGTTTCAGAGAAAGTTTAGTGTTCACTTGTTTGATGAAGAGTAAGCGATCGTTATGTAAATATTATGAATTGTGACAAAATTAAAAGGCAAGAAAAACACAGCAACTGCCACAAAGTTTTGAGGCAGCAGCTGAAAAATATCTAATTATATTAATGCAAGTGAATAAACAGAACTAATTTAATTAATTTATATAGGTTTATAAAGAGCTAATAATAATAAAAAGATAATAATAATAATAATAATAATAATAAAATAATAATAATATTTTCTAAAGTTTGTACTTATGTATGTAATTTAATTTAAAAGTTAAATATTAATTGTCAAATTAATTGTTATACTTAAAATAATCATAATTTATTACTTATCTGTAACAAATTAAGGATATTATTTATTTTATATAATTCATATAAAATAAATATAATAAATAATTAGCAGCAAAAGCCAGGCAATTTATTAAATTTTGGAGCAAGAGATACAGGATGATTGACTTTATTGCATCATATATATGACACTTTGCTCCCAGCTGATTAGTCTAGTTTTGGTTTGCAATCTCTTACCCAGAATAATATCTGCTCCGAAGCAGGTTAGCCATATAGCACAAGTTACTTTGACGATGCACATAGCTAAAAACCAATCCATCATCTTGCACACAGAGTGCTCTCAAACTAATTTCAAACTTACCTGAGCAGAGCCACTAAAAAAGGCCTCATGAAATAGGTCATAGGTTTTGGAACAATTCTGTTATGTTTTGGACACACCACACCCCTAACTGGTATTACCCGAGTTCCTGTTTTTCACTGATACTGTTTTAAGTGTGTGAATGTTTGTATCTTCAAATGATTGACTGACATGTTGTGTTCAGCCTTGTCTCCCTCAAAGGGCTCCTGTCAGCGGCCTTATACACCTGAACACTCTTGATAAAAACACAGAACAATGTCAAACACCTTGTCCTTATCCTTCCTTCACACGGCCTAAACCTTACACCATCCGCCCCCTCTTCACCTATGTGTGGGTAACAGTACAGTTTTTAATCCGTTCACTCCAAACACAGCTAATCGACAGGAGACATTAACCGAGCACTTTGTCTGCTCTCCATTACGGCTATGGAGGTTCCTCTCAGGATGTATTGAATTACCCATAATTCCCTAAACCTGTCACTCACAGACAGACAGACAGAGTGTCAGGTATTCCGGGCATATAATGAGGTTTGGGAATGTTGGCAGAGAGGAATTTCTTCACCGCTCTCTTTCTGCTCTCTGTCATTAGATATGCACCTGGCTCTCTCTGAGCTAAGTGCAGGTATGAAAGCTAAAACGTTTCCTCCTTTAAAGATGAGAAGGGGGATTAAAAACATATCATTAAACATGGACTTGGCTCAAACAAACAGGACTAAATACAGAGTTTCACCCTTTTAAAAGTATGCAGAACAACTGAAAGCTTTTTTACTGTACTCTTTCCTCTGTCTAACAATGTGGCGATACTTGATATCTTTTTCAGTTGCCATAACAGAGTGCAACAATCCATGGATGATGATGATAACCTTCATGAGCGGCTGTGGATATACAGTATATAAAAAAACTGCCTTAAGTCAGACTTATAGACTGTAGGAAACAGTTGTTGAGGATTAGAAATGAAATTTGAGATTGCATCGTTATGACATCGTCAATATGTGTCTGCTTTTGTGCCGTGTGATTGGGCGTATAAGTTGAGGCCAAAGGACTGTCCAAACTGTCATATGAAAACTATTCAACGAGTTCAAGTAAAGGTCTGCTTTTCCTTTCTCTGCATATGTAAGCTGTCAATCATTCAGTAATGTCCTGAGGCAAATATAATGTATTCACAACAAATGAGGGAAATAAGATTTTAATAAGAATTTTCGTTATAGGTATTGAGATGGGTTGTATACACATTACTGGGTCACAGAATCACATATACACAGATTTTAGTGGAGTTATGACTGGAATAAATGGTGTTTTTTGTAAACGAACAACTTTTTATTTCATTCTGTGTGAGTAAATGCATGTCATTATGTTTATTTATTCACTAAAAATACTTAACATAGTTTTACTTTTAACTGATTTTTCCCAAGCATTCATTTTCTTAGAAATTTTCACAGCAATTTTAATGTTTACGTTACAGACCATGCAGCACATTATCACAATGTAAATTTAAAGGTGCTCTGAGGAGTTTTCAGGTTTTACACATGAAAAAATTAACATAAATTTCATGAAATATCATTAAAATTATTCTCACGTGAGATACAGTATAGATGCCCAACTCGAGTCAGTTTTCTAGAATAAATGTCTTTGTGGGACGTATGCCATGTTGAGATCACATGATCACGTCTGTTACTACTAGTACTGTTTCTGATAATTTGCAAACTATTTGCACTTAACAGTAGTGTAAAGAAATGCTGTTTGTTGCTATTTATACTTGGTGCAAACAGTATCTACGACTTACAGTCAGTGTAAACTGTCTTTTTTACACTTAGTATAAATAATCTTTGCGTTATTTTGAATAATTCAACTTCAGTCATTAGAGTACAATTAGAGTCATGTGAAATAATAAATGAATGCTGCCAAACTAATTTAGCTGCATTTCAGTTCAATCAGACCTTTTTTATCATCTCTGGCAGCAACAAAACCATATTTCCGTTACTTATAACAATATTTTTTTAGCTTTTGAATTGTTCTGTTTTAATGAACAAAACAGTAGCTGTACAGCTTGCAACCATGGGAGCTGAAATTCTAAGATCCATGGGAGGTAAATGTAATATAATGTAACTGGACTATATAAAATATTGAAGCCAGAAAAATATGGGGTCAAATGATAGGATATTATTATATTCTCTAAAAACCAGTGTTAGTCCAACCACCACCTTGAACATGATACGAATTACTTGTAATGCTACGAAGACAAATTTTCGTTATGATTATGAAAACATAACATGGCCTTGGTGTCTGCATATGCTTATGTTGATATGAACATTATTTACACAGAGCGAGGGGTAACCCTTACATTGACCCCTGCCAAGAATAACACAAATATGTAACCCGAGCTTATAATAATGAACTTGGACTGACCTTTTGTAAAGCTGAACAGTAAAATAATTTAGTGGACTATGTCTGTGGTAGGTGTAGGAATCCGTCCAGGAGATGTATGCAAGAGACAATAGCTGTGATGTCAAAGAAGAGGGAAAAATGTGTCTTTGTGGAGGAGGAAGAAAACATTTAAAAACTTTGGAAAGAAGTTCTATTGTTTGATATATGAACTTACAAGACTCAGGCATTACCCAAGAGCCCCCATGCTGATATCTTTGTGACACTTGCTCTCTGAGATCGCTCCCTCAGCCCCTTTAAATCTGCTCCACATGTCTTGAATGCAGTATGATCCATCATAATCAAAGCTATCTGTGATGCCGCCTTGTTCTTTAACTAAACAGACAAATCTGACTTATCTTTATGTTAGAGTTAGAGATATGTCTGTCTGCTGTTGATAAATGTGCAGTATTAGAGGAACATTCCTTAGTGACAATGTATATCTTTATCAGATGTCTAAAAACTAGATGTGTTTGGGTTGCATTAGGTCTTTGAAATATATGAACACTATTTGCATTAAATTCAATAAGGGGATTGATGTTCAAAAAAATAAAGATGCTGCAATCTAAAACAAATTCTTGGTTAGAAACAACCCAGTTTGTGTCATTTTTGCTGGGTCAAAAAGGGATGAACCTGGTGCTGGGTTGTTTTGACCCAACATTCTGGGTTGTTGTTTTAACTCAGCTATTGTTTGAAAAATGACTATACTGCCTGGTTAAAAATAACCCAAAATGGGTTGGAATACTTGGAAATAAAAGTCACATAACACATGCAGAATAATTACAGTAACAACACAGGAAACTGGAAAAAAATACAAGCAATCGTATAATGTGTGTGAGTGAAAAAAAGTGAAGAAATGAATGACAAATCAAGTTACAACTTATACAGTTAATTGAAGTTGCTTTATTTTAAACTTTCAGTGAACATTGCTGAATAAATATTGAAAACCTTGGGTTTAAGACAAAATTTAACCAGTTAGTTGGCTCAGTTTGTTCTTTTTCACCAACCACAATAGTCTTTCTGTGGCCAAAGCATTAAGCTTTGAGTGCCATCAAGAAACACACAGAAAGCCTGTAATAAACGCAAGAACCATTTCCAACCTTGCATAATTTGGTTTCTGCTAGGGATGTTCATTTTAACTGTTTATCCGGTTAACCGACCGTAATAATTTTGACGGATTAATACAATCAGTTAAACGGTTTAAAAAGTCTTTTTTTTCAGTAATTTATCAAAATATTTTAAAAGGTTTGCTGCATGGTTAAAATACCCTACGCGTATAAAAAAAATTTTTCTTTTAGGGGGGAAAAAACAAGTCGCGTATAACTTAAGTCACATTTTTTTATTTCATTCAGAAATAGGCCTAATGCCAATGCGAAATGTTTACAAACATTATAATAAACACTGTAAACATAGCTAGGCTATTTTAGTTTCCTCACTCCACAACAAATCCTTTCAATTAACAGTATTTAGAAAAGAACAAGAATTAAAAATATAAGAAGCTATAGCAATATAAACTTCAAGCCAAAACGAATTAATTTAGGCTAAAATGAAACTGAAACCAACGTTGGGTCTCTCATTCCACACAAAACCAAATGTTTCAGTATTCGCAATGTATTTGAATGCCAAATTATTATTTATTATGTAGGCCTACTTCACTGGCGTTCCAATATCCACGTAAAAACAAAATGTTTTGCATAACATCACGGCGGTACTGTGATAACACTTAACGGCACAGATTTTACTACATATTTTTTACTACATATTTTTTTATTTTTCCTCATATGTTTGACTGACTGCATTTTATTATGATAATGAACAGGCTACATTGTCAAGGTAGCAATGCTTAAAGGCACAATATGTAATTTTCGCCGCTAGAGGGCGCATATTCAAAATAAACAAATAGATAAAGGCGTAGTTTAATGACGCTGTGACTGAGTGTGGAATCATGGGAGTTGTCGTCTTCTTCCCCACAGCCGATGCAAGCCGTCAAAGCGAAACGAGGCCGCTGAACGAGTGTGACACACGGCTCGAAAGCAGCGGAGCTTGTATTATGCCACAGTCGACCGCTTCCGCTCCGTCCGGTCGTGCGTATGTGGGGGAAAAAAGCAGCGCTGTTAACACATTTCATTACACCAAATACACAATACTAGGCTACTTGTTGCAACATCATATGACCGCTTTAAGTAAAAATTATTTAAGCAAAAATATGTTTCTCGTATATGCTTATTTATTCGTTATATAGCCTAGCTTTATTATGTTTTTCTCCGCTCACAGAAGCACTGCAGGTGCCTGATGTGATATGAAGACCATGTGAATCCTCATGTTTCTGCTTATAAATGATTATCAACCCAAACTGGGTCTAATTAAATAACCCAGTGTTTTTTAGAGTGTATAACCGTTTATTGTACAGAACTGTCATAGTCCTCATAATATATAGATGTAATGCATAATAATGGCGACAGTACTCAGTAGGTGATTGGAAGTCTGACAGTAATTTTCTTGAAATTTATAGTCAAAGATGGTGAATTTGTTCCTAAATTTGTTGCTTTGGAAAAAGCAGTGCTTTAAAAGATGAATTTGAGAAGAAACTTCTCAGGGAGGATTTTACTGTCAGTATGCCAAAGCACAGCACGCTGTCAGCACGCTCAAACCCTCGCTGAGAAGTCTCCTAATTCATTTCCTTTAAAGCAACACTGCTAATAATCTACGTAAATTCACTAGCTGGTTGTTGGACAACATAGTATAAGTCCCTCCATGCTCCCTTTTCATTCACTCTTTCACTCGTTCCTTCATTCAAAAGAATAGGACTGTTTTGAGAGCCCCTAATCTGAAGTGTGTGAATCCTTGTTCTAAATGATTCCCTGCTGAAGGAAATCTCCTAATGAAGACAGACGACTACAGTTTTCTCACTCTCTCCCACAATTTCATGGCACTCTGTTGACTAATGAAGCAAAGATTCAGACATGATTGTCGCCCCAGCCGAATACTGCTTGTTGAAGAAGTGAGAAAGGGAGACGTAGACAGAGCAGATGAAAGATGGTGTGAGAAAATAAAAGAAAGGCATTTGAAAGAAGGCTGAAAGTGGCTGCCCTCATCAAGCTGACCTTTTGTTTAGAGACAAACAGATTTAGAAACAGAGGGAGAAAGTATGTGTGTTGGTGGACAAAAGAAAGGACTTGAATAGAGCAGCAGCTGATGCAGAGCTGCTAAAATGCATAGACATGCCTGAAAGAGACCACAGTAAAGCAGCTGAACATTTGCTTGGGATTTAACAAGACCTCAAACACACACACTCACACTCACACACCTCCCACAGAGATGCTCAGCCACTCCCTTAGATGACTCCATCTAACTGTCCACTCCATCACAGGTCCGCAGCAGCAGAACTCTCCTCTCTCATCATGAAGACTGCCGAGGAACCAGACAAACAAAGACAGAGGAGCAGACATCAACATCTCCAGATGGGGTGGTTCTCCAGTGTCTGGTGGTCTACATTGGTGATGCTCTTCTTCTCTCTGCCGGAGGTGAACTCTATGAAGGAGAGTGTGCCAAGAGTTAAACTCAGCTACAAAGGTAAAATTTGTCCTTATGTGACTTTTAAACTTTATTTAACATTCTGTTTATTCCAAAAAGCTTTTACATTGCTCTATGTAGATGATTTCTTTCTAAAATGATCTATTACATCTTTAGTGTTTTGCTGAATTTCCATGTATTTATTTTAAACATCTGCTGGATCATTTGTCATTTTTAAAGGATACATTTTGAAGTACATGGAGTGTGATGAGAGGTTTACAACTCACTTGTATGAGGTCAATATTTAGACTGCGCATGTGACTGATTGAGTGTACATAAGGGATGTGCTGCATATCACAGTAGCTGTATGCACATTTTGTATATTGTATTTACTGGAAGCACACATACACACTTCGCTATCTAAATTATATATTCTGTAGACATCTATTGTTTTTATATTAAGCTGATTTTAATTGCTATAGACCAAATAATTTCTCAAAGAAAAACCATTATCTTTAGAAAAATATTATCTTTGCTTTATTTATTTATTTGGTCCTTACACTGTAGATATTCCTTCTATACACATATACATTGTCTTATTTCATTTTATGAATTTCAGATGCTAACTTATGGTGCTCAGACAAACCATTTAGCAACGACCTAGCAGCCACTCAAAACACCACAGGAAACATTTTGCAATGCCTTGGCAACAACATACAACCACTAGGAAAAATTTGAGAGAGTAATCTTTGCCAGTTTAAATGCTGAAGTTATTTTAAACCATTCAAGTGCAATAAGTTGTAAAAGACAATGTCAGTATGGCTTTTTGCGCCTTATTGCACTTAATTGGTCAAATAAACACAAAAATATGTCAAAATGACTGTGGTGATTATTCATGTAAACACAGTAGGTTATGTCTTAAGTGAATGTAAACAGTTGGATATGTTTCATAAAATAAGGTCTGCACATTAGCTTTTAAAGTGACAGCATCCTAATATTCCTGCTGCTATTGGTGTCATTAATGTTAATCAAACAACAAAAGATGGTAACACTTTATTTTACGGTGTCCTTGTTACACGTTACATGTAATTACTATTATAATAACAATAAATTATTCATAATTACATGCAAGTAACCCTAAGCCAAACCCTAATCCTAACCCTAACCATATAGTAAGTACATATAGTTAATTAATATTACTCATTCCTTAAATGTATAATTACACTGTAACAAGGACACCTTAAAATAAAGTGTAGCCTAAAAGACAAAGAGAAGTTTACTCACTTCTCTTGACTGGATAACTTTAGTAGCTTTAATAAGAATCAGTGTATATTTAAATCATATAGTGAAGACTATGCACTTTTATTTTACATTAATTCAACTTCTGTAGCATTTCTTCTGACCAATAAAAAAATGTAAAGTACTGTATTTCATTTGTCTTTGTTCTATTATATTTATTTGTTCTATTGCACAAAATTATTTTCTTTTTCTTATTTTATTACTTCCTGTTCAATTGTCTTTAATAAGAACTTTTTGAGAACTTTTTGCTTACGTCAGTTAGACTACTATACGTTTTTGCTGTGATATTAAAATTGGTGTCAAGAATTGTAACATTTCAATGGTATCTTACATTTTTATAACATAAATTTATTTCAAGCTAAAGTAACTTTAAAATTACTCATATCATAATGTAATCACCAACCCCTACCTCTTACATGTAAAAATCTAGTTGTATGCATTGCATGTACACCTGCATTTGTTTGTTTATGAGCATAGTGCAGTATATTTTGCTGCATCAGACGTTCTGTTAATGAGAGGTTAAATAAGGACTTGACGACTAAGGTCTGGGATTTTACCCAGTACCTCACTGTAACTGTCTGCATCTCTTGTGGTATTTGCTAACCACTGTTTCATGCTGTGAGTGTGCTCCCTCCCTCTACCTGTGGTTGTGTTTGATCGCTCGACTGCAGCTGCGGCTTCAAATGTTTGATAAGTCAATAAGGCGTTAACTCTCTGATCTCAACAGCGATCCCACGAGCACAGCACATTTTAGCTTAGCACTGGAGTTACGCTGACAACACCATAGCAGTGCCACACTCTCAAACACACACACACACACACACACATACATACTTATGCTGTGTGTATTATGGGTGGGATTTCTGGGCAAGATAAACGCATGATGCTATAAAGTGAGTGAGGCGTAAAAGAAACAACATGTCCTTACTCATTTAAGTGCATTGACACATGGATTGTTAAAAGTCATGCATACTTTGTCCGCAGTTGTAGACGCATGATAAATCTGCACTGGGCTTTACAACATCAGTAGCAGCTTTGATTAGATACCATGTTGTTCTAGAACGTGTTTTTGATAGTGCTGACAAGTGATAAAAGAATCCTTTAGACATTAATGTTTTTTCTAACCAACAAGAAGAGATAAAAGTTATTTTCTGTGCTTGTTTCTTTTCTTTCTCTCTTTTTCATTCTCTTCTGTGTTCAGTCCCTGCTTCGATTTGAGGAGTTACATGAATGCAGTGTTTGTTTTATGTCACTGAGGGAAATAAAAGTTATAGCTCCTTAAAGACTGACCCACAGCATGCCAGCACTACTGAAATAGACCATCATCCGTATTAGGAAACTCACGCCAATAAAAATATGAGTGACTGTGCAGGGGCTGTCTGTTTATTTTCAGTTTCTTTAGCATAAAAATCCTTCATGCTGTGCGTCAGTTTGCCATAGCTGAGCTGGCGAGAATGACGTGAATGAGAGGAGAGAACAGACAGCTGTCTGACTTGTGCTAGAAATTATGATTTGTGCATGCAATGACGGAGCTCTTGAAGAGAGATTTTCTTGAAGTGTCTACATTTGAAATTTGAATTTTGAACTGTATTTTTTTTATAGACAGATAATAAAGAAACCTTTATTTATATATATATATATATATATATATATATATATATTAAAGTGCAAATAAACATTAATGTTACACTGCAAAAAAAAAAAAATTGGATCCATATTTTGTCTTCCATTATCTATATCTAAACATTTTTTAAACAAGATAAATTTACTAGGAAGCCATTTTTCGTAACCCTTTTTTCTTTCTTTCTTTCTTTCTTTCTTTCTTTCTTTCTTTCTGCGTGATAAAAATAATTGTTGCCGTTAATCAATTCATGTGTTAAAATCAATTCAAAATTGTCTTTAAAACTGTCTTTAATATCCTATACATTTATGTGTAATATATTGGTTCCTGCTGGGCTTTTTTACAAGTTTTTCTAATCCATTAAGCTACCCTGAGCAGGTCAGTTTGATCATAAAACTTGCTGTTCCGCTCCATGTTTGGTCCTGTTGGAGAGGATGCAGAAGTACAGTCTTTCACAATCCATCATCTGAGCAGATGCTCTCAAAAAAACATCGGCACCATTTCTGTATCACTGCACTCCTTTAAAACAGAGTGTGTCATTATCCAGCAGTATGCAGGGCTGCGTGTACACCTCAAGGCCGATCGGCAGTAAGTTCCTCTTGTTTTTCTCTTAAAGGAAGGCTAAAAGGGGAACATCTGATCTGCGTTAGATATAGTACATCTCATAATGTTCTGGAGTCAACTAAACAATATTCTTTCTGTCGCTAACATCACTCCTAGCTGACAATGTCCAGTGAAACGCATCAAAATATTATCTTCAGGTTGTGTAAATATTTCTATTAAAGACAGTCTCCCTCGCACAGGGGTCTTGAGTGAGGGTAATAGATTGTTTTATGAGTGGTATATTTCCGTGTGTTTGACATAAAGTGTACATGCATGAGGGTATAGACATGCATGACAGAGTCATGAACGTGAAACATGCAAACACAAAGCCTTGTTTTGCAATAGGAAAACAGCAATTTAAGAACTCACAGTATAGTTTACAATGAATTTATAACTATATGGCTCCCAGTTGGCTGTGGCTCTCTAAACAGATGTAAAACAAGCAGGTCATAAATATGGTCATGCGTCTTCCTAATGTACTGAACACAGAGTTACACTATTTTCCACTGGTTTGGCTCTCTCCCCAAACCACAGGCAGGATATTGATTACACCTAAGAGTTCCTTTAATCCTTTACCGTCTCAGAAATCTTAAAGGGTAGCTGGGGGGTACCTTAATTTGTCATCCTCTTAAATTGTGCATTACTTCATAGGTTTGTATTCCACTCATCAACCTTTATGCTTTGCCATTGCCTGAAGATAAATGATCTACCTGTAGGGCTGAAATAGCTCACAGTGTGAAGGTTGAACTGTACAGCACAATGTAAAGATTGGACTGAATGGATAATACTTTCTTTATGTTTCCACAGGGTGTCTGCATTTCTTATAAGAATAATTGTTAAGCCACTACGATCAGCAAACCGCAGAAGTGTAGCATTACACTACAAGCTTATAAAATTGGACTTATAGAAGTTCTTGTTAGAGTCCGTTCGCTCTTTGGCCATTTTGGCAACGGCCCGTCTAGAGATGGAAGTATAGCTTCTTTGTACTTGAATGGGATTAGTCAGAAATTTCCAAAACTGTTTGCCAAGCTGGCGTTTCAAAATATTTCAAATCACAAAGAGTAACAAGGGTATGTAAATTTTGTATCTTCTGCTAAAATAAACGATTTATTTATTTGTACTTTTTTATTTTAGCTAACATGCTTGCATGTTCCAGGGCAAATTAAATCTGCATAACATTCTTTGTTCTGTGGAACACAAAATGAGTTATGTGTACCGGAATGTCTAAGATTCCCTTGTTCATACAATGAAAGTGAATGGCGACCACAGCTGTAAGACAAATATTTGGTGAATAATGACTTAAATATGCATATTTGGGTTGTCTGGACTACCCCTGAATATAAGACGACCGCGTTTTTTCAGATGTATTCCCAAGAAAAAAATATCGTCTTATATTCGGGACAATACGGTACTTTTTTATTTTATTTTTTTTGCCTTCGGTTTTTTGGATCTTTACAAACATTGGTTCCCATCCCCTTTTGTTGGAATGAAAACAAGCAGCTCAAACATTCTGCTTAATGTCTCCTTTCATATAGAAGAAAAAATCATATACTGTAGGCTTGAACTTTATCCCTTTAAAGGCAAAAGATCCATTTTCTCATTATATTGTCTCTGATATTACTTAGGAAAGAACATTTAATCTTTGTAATTGATTTGTCAAATGCACATTTTAATTATCCTCAAAAAACATTGTCTAGCTGTAATTTACAGACTACTGCTCCTAGGGGATGCGAGAGTTGATTCCCTGAGGGGTCCAGATAAAGCTCCAGAACTCCAGATAAATCTCTGTAGACTTCATTGCTAAGCCGGGATCTTTCAGCAGGTCTCTGACCTTAAACTGTTTGCAGAGTAGATTAGCGTCAGCTAGTCAGGCATTAGCATGAATGGGGTTTTATTTTGGAGAGGATTTTTTGCCTTATAAATATTGATCAGAAGTGACCCATCCTCGACCCTGCACCCCAGAGAATAAATAGCAAGTCCTAGGTTATAGTTAAGTCTTATTCAGCTTCTTGACGCTCTAGACTCATAACCCTGACGCCCCATGACCCACCCCTCACATGGCTGTTTAAATGATATATGTACATGGCAGACATGCAGGGAGGTCGCTGAAAACTGAGAGATGGAAAGAATGAATGTGAAATGGTGTGTATATGTGAAATTCAGGATTCAAAACAGAATAAAAAGAGGATCAGAAAACATAAACAAATCTACAGACCTGCTTTCCATGGTGTTTAAGTGCACACTGCCAGATTTTCTTGCTTTGAGGCTACTGGCAGATGGTTATGTTTGTGTGCAAGGAGAGCAGAACATAGGGTGGAGAAATGTTAGGACTCTGTCCAAGTCTACTAAGACTGCATGCTTTAGTCAAATGACATTACGTGTTTCAATATCCTAAGAATTATGTATCTAGAGAGTTCAGCTTGTACGTACCAAAGAGAGTATGAACAAGGCTTAACAACGTCACCTTTACAGATTTTCCACCTCTCTTATGTTGGTGTTGATAGCCTGGAACTTTTAAGCTTATTTGTGCTATCATGACAGCTTTTGGCTTACGGTCATTGTGTGCAAACGCCAATCTGAACTCAGCTGTCTAAGCTGTTAACCGGTACTCTTCAGCAAGAATAACATAATGTGGCATTGCTCCCTCAGAGAGCAGAAGAAGTGAAATATGAAACCTACAGCAAATGAACCATCGCTCTAATCTGCCGCTGTGTTGATGTGTGAGAATTGATAAGTGGAGCGATTAGATCCAGCTGGATTCTCAAACAGCTCAGAGGCTTTTGGTTCATGTTCGGCAGGTGAAGTAAGGGCTGGAGGAGGGAGGTTTAGTAGATGGGCTGGTGTTAAAGAGAGGATGAAATCTTATCAGGATGGAATCTGAACACATATATGACAGATAGCCCCGAGGTTACGGTTACTGTAGATAATACGGAATATAGAAGTTATGATGCCTCTCATTATATTAAAAGTGTGAAAGATTCGGAAGAGAGGGCAATAGCGGTGATATGATAACTTTTCGATTTATTTCTACAATGCAATGCTTAGACAAATGCACACTTGTGCACATACTCCTTCACACATAAAGCTCTTGCACAAGTCTCTATTCTGATACACAGGTTACTTAGTATGTTTGTGCATATAGTGCATACTATGTGTTTATATGTGTGTATTCACCCTCATTTGACTTCTTCAGAGCTGATCCATTCTCGAAGCGTGGTGCCGTTTGTGGGTTCCAGCGAGGGGCAGCGGTTTCAGACAGTCCTATTGGATGAAGAGAGAAGCCGATTACTGCTGGGATTCAAAGACCACATCTACCTACTGGACCCAGACGACATAAATAAACACCCCAAAAAGGTAAATACACACACCTTAAAAGGCTCACACCTGCAGACATGCAGAATCAGGTCTCCGTGAAAAGGAACGTAAAGACTTTACACTATGTGTGGTCTGGGGCGAAACATAACAAATTTTTCCATAGAATAATTTAGAAGAACATTCACTCACTCTCAGACTGGTTGACAGATTTCATTCATTTGGAAAAGAAAAAAAACAAACAGTTTTCAACAGATGTGAGAATTATAATAGATATTGTTTCTTGATTGACCATATTGTTTCGCCAAACGGTTTAGAACAGTGTTTTTTATTTATTTATTTTTAATCAGGTTTCTCTTCTTCTTGTAATTCTATTAAACCCCCTTTTCTCATTTAGTCAATAGAACTATATCAAATGCAAGTTTTGAGTGAAACATTGTGTGTAAACTAGATCCTAAAATGTTGCTTGCCAGTGCAAACGTTGCCGCTATGATCAGTGCAGTGCTATTTATTGCCAGAGTTTTGTTCGTAGGTGGTCGCTTTACTGGTCCAAGAGCCTATCCCCAAGTCAGATTAATTTGATAAATTTTATGTTTTTATGTATTTGTCTGTCTTTTGTCAAACAGGTGCATGTTTTATTGTGAGAACAAAATAATTTCTCATTTTTTTTGTTATAAAACTGTTGACTTTGTTATAGAACTGTCGACTGGTAATACTCCTGTACTTGGACAACATAATCTGGTTTAAACTAAGTACAAATCAAAACTGTTTATACCTTTCTAATCTCACAAAAATGTCTGATAGCATGGTGTGAGAGTCTCTGGATATGTTTAGCTTATAAATACATTCATGGTAGTAGTGTGTTTATGTTTCTCTGTGTGTCTCTGCCTCAGAAGTTCTTTTAGTTCACTTTGTACTTTCACTTTGAAAAGTTCTCATAGTTATTTCACTGTCACATCTAGATATTCCCACAGCATCACCCCACAGAGCTCCTGAGCCGACCTTACCAAAACATTTTTTTGTCTTTCTCACATAAGTAGGCACCCATGGCAAAAATATATATTTTCAGATGCATTTCAAAATATACCAAAAATGGCTTAAAATGTAATTCTAATATAGATTTTGAAATATATTTACATAAATAAATTTTTCATAAGTTTTAGTTACTTTTTGTCATATATTTTTTGGATATTTTTATTTTATATTTTACATATAAATATTTAAATTATCCAACTTATATTTTATAAAATACATTTTTCATTACCCAAAATGTTTTTTTTGTCAATGTTTTGTCAATGACCCTTAAAGTGCATTGTGTCATGTATATATAATTTATTAAGTATATATTTGAAGTATATGTTTTGGGCAATATATATAATTGAATAATATTTTATTATCTTAAAATTATGCAGAGGTGGAGGCAGAGCTCCAACTGCAAAAAATAGGTCTTTCTGATGTGCTGACCTTTGCATGCGAGTGTGTGTGTGTGTTTATGTCATGTGTTTGTCTGTTCATGCACTTGTTCTCATTTGTATAGTGGAGTATCCGTATTGAGCCCATTTTCAGTTTGCGGTAGGGACACCAATCTTCAAAGCACCATCATGTAAAGTCGTCTCACGAGCATGTGTAAGGATGGATTGCTTATTACATGTAGAGACGGCTCTGGTAGGTCAAGGTCAAAGGTCAGGCATGTGTGTGCTAAGCGCTTAAGCTTTTTATAACATGTATGCAGAGACAGGGCCAGCAGCCCCTTCATCACTCTTTATCTGTTCGTCATCCTCCCTCTTGCGAGCTTAACCCATAACTCATGTTTGTACATGATTTCTTGTGTACAGCTTTTCATCTGTTAAATACACAATGGATTAAACTCTGTTTAAAATCCTACTTTGAGTCCCAGATTAATCTCAGTCTAAATCAAAGTTTTTGTACAGTTTACACTTCATGGTTGAATTACCTTTCTGAAACAATTCCATGAGAGACAAATGTAAACACTTATGCTGACTGTATAAATTACAAGTTAAGTGTTGCTTGTATTTTTTACCTGAATTGACTTGCTTTTTGTGTGTATGTTTCTCACTTCCAGCTGAGCTGGCCAGCTCCAAGAGATAGGGTGGATATGTGTATACTGGCTGGCAAAAACCCTCTTGTAAGTATCAGTCAGGATATATGTCTGTTGAATGAACCTTTCAATACACAGCCTGTCCTCTCTAACTCACACCTGTCTTGTAAAAGAGAACTGTAAACTATTTGCTTCAGACCTCCACTGCATTTCATTGCATGTATCATGATTTCCACAAAAATAAAGCTGCACAACTGTTTTCAACATTGATAATAAGAAATGTTTTCTTACCAACCTTTAAACAGTAGTGTATGTTATATCACTTCATCCCGAAGTGATTTTTAGTGAATGTATTAAGTCAGTCCCCTCAACCAGGGTATTTTTAAACAGAATATTGATTATTTTGTCATCTGAAATCTTGCAAACTTCTTTTTGTGAAACAATTAAGAAGTATGCTGATGATATATTTCATGATAAAGACCACTTTGTTAGATATTTTGCTATCTAATGCAATGACATCGATACACTAAATGTGTTATAAATATCCAAATAGCTTTTAAGACCACTTCACATGCTCACATTCTCTCTCTTTCTCTCTCTACCTCAGACCGAATGTGCTAATTTCATTCGAGTTTTACACAGCTATAACCGGAGTCATGTCTATGCCTGTGGTACTGGAGCATTCCACCCCACCTGTGCTTTCTTAGAGGTCAAAGGTCACAAAGAGGCAAGGAATTAAATTATTGACTGTTTCCACACAGATTATATTGAGGTTTTCTGTTTGATTCACTGGTATTCTTGAAAATGTGAAATGTGTCATTTCTCTTGTATGGTAAATATTAATGGTGAGTGTTTTGTGTAATCATTAGGACAGCTGGCTGCACCTACACAGCAACACTGTGGAATCCGGCCGATTGAAATGTCCTTTTGATCCACACCAGCCCTTTGCTTCTGTACTCACAGGTGAGCCTGAATCTTAACAGATCTTCCTTCTCTAAACACAAACCTGATGTAAAGAGCATTTTACTCTTTGCATGTGATCGGCTTTCTCCCACAAAAAACCTGGGGCAAGTTCAAACTCAAACCGGTGTGCACCGTTTTGCTACGGTTTCCGGTTTGAACGACATATTTCCTGGAAACAGTGTGCAACGGTGTGCAACGGGGTTTGAGATACATTTTCTCTTGTTTGGTGGGCATCGAGCGTATTTTGCAGTATTAAACACGTATTTATACCGATTTCATCAGGCTCCGAAAATTCTTCAAAAAGAACACAAAGAATGGCCTTCTCAGCTGCCATAGTTGCAACTCTTGCGTCATCAGAACAGGGTGTTCAACGCACCACCGTTTCAGTTTAAAAAACGTTTTGCACCGTTTTTGTAGGGGCTGAACGCAGCCCTGGTTCCTCTGTACCGTGTGTCAGACATTTGTTTTTGGCTTCAAGTTAAACCGACCCTTATGTTTCCAATGGAGGGCTGTAGAGAAATGTCACACCCTGTCAAGAGTACCAGCTGTAAACTTTACTTTATCCCCCCATGCGTTCCATTTTTGTGGGTTGTATTGAAGCCTGAATTTTTCCAGCTGAACAAAGTTCGATTAATTACAGCCATTAGTCATTACAGATCCTTCCTTCCTACCAGAAATTGGATTGCTATAATGTAATCTTCATAAAAAGTCCTGAACTAGGAAAGTTTAAAAAAATAGTTTACTCAAAAGGGAAAATTGTCATCATTTACTCACTCTCATATCATTCCAAGACTGACTTGCATGAAACACAAAAGGAGTTTTGAAAAAATTTAATGAAATGAAAACATTGTGTGACAAGCTCCAAAAAAAGTTTCTTCATAAAATAAACAAGCACATGCACACCGTACGAGGTGCAGGTCGGAAGCTATCAAAGTTGTGTAAAGAGGATATAAACACTCACTTGCAAATAAACTACTTTATTTAATTAACCAACATTTTTGCAAAGAGTTCTTGCTGAAACATTGGTTAATTAAATAAAGTTCATTTACTCAAACTCCCTTTTATGAGAAAAAAAAAAAAAAAAAAAAAAAAAATCATCATAAAAGTCTTCCAGCCTTGTGTGCGAAATGTACTATAATTTAAGTAAAAAATTTAAGTTAAAATCCAAAAACAGTACTGTAAATGAGATTTTTTACTTTTGGTTGAACTCCTCCTTCAACGGTGTGGTTGAGTGTGTTTGTTTATTTACATGGACAGCCATAATCGACAGGGAACAACTCTGGGAGAACACAGAGCACGTTCTCTTCCATGTCATCGAGATTTGCTCCAAACCACATACATAGAGAGAAGGGTGAGTTAGGGTGGAGGCCCAAACACCAAATGATAACTCAGATAGAAATCGCTGAGTGATTCTAAAAACATAATCCATAAACCCATTTTAGCTGTCATGGATATTATGGAGATGGTCATTTATTTATGGAACATATTGTATGACTTCAGTTTTGCTTGTGTATCACACACTGAAAAAAATGATAAAAAATTTTAAGTGGTTGCAAACAATTTATTTTAGCTACATTTAAATAAAAAAAATGTTGAAAGTTAGTCAACTAAATTTGTTTATTTAAATGTAGCTAAAATACATTGATTGCAACCACTTGCCTTAACCCTTGTGCGCTCCTCATTTGGGAGTCACACTCATGGTCTTCGCGGTCAAAAGTGACCGGACACCTGAAATGTAACTTTTTTTTTTTAGTAAAATCAAATCTAATATATTTTTGTTCAATAATATTTTTTCTTTTGTATTTTGAGATAATTTTATGGTACTAGTTAATATTTATGCAATAATTATGATCAATTTTT